CAACAACTATTTACTACTCTTACGCTGGTAACGCAATCAAATCCAATAGCGACAGCATAGTCTAGACATATTGACAAATCCTACCTGTTTAAAATTAGTTTGGCTACCGGATAAAATGAGACAGGTACCAGAAAATGCAATGAATTGAAATATATAGACAATGAAACTTAGGAACTGATGTACATTGAGTGTACAATTGATAGTAAGATTATTGGCAAAGTTCATTCATTACACATATGTTTAGATTTTCCAAATTTCGAAACATCAAAGAAAGAAAAGAGAGGAGAATATGACGTATTGTGCATTGCCCGAGTATAATCGTGGACAATTAGCTTATTTTCAACGCTAACATTCACATCTGCATTCGCCATTTTTGTCCTTATCATAATAAGTAACTCTGTTGTTGCATAATTAAATATTATACACTCGCGAACAAAAGCTTTTCTCTCCCTTCTTTCTTTCATAAAACTTACTATTCGCTTTCTTCTTACTCTGGAACTGATTTGTAACATAAATACAGCTCTAAACAATGAGCCTTCTCCGTTAGCTATCGAATTTACCAAAGACTGAATGACCACATAGGAGTTCTCCAAATCCTTTTTTCTGCATAAAGATTGCAAATTTTCGGTATAAATACCTTCAACGTCAACCAAATTTTTGTATAAATTATAATCAGTTTTATTCGCTCTACTTGATACTTTTATATGCCCAATTTAAAAAGAGAACTTCTAAGAGTTGATAAGATTTGGTTTAAACTGCATATTTCCATCAAATCCTACCAAATCTTGGAAGTTCTCATTTAAAACTGGTATGTAAAGTACCAGTATCACGTAGAGCGAAAATAACTGGTTATAAGTGACACAAACAGTTTCTTGGATTTGGGAGTTTTTATATCAAAAATTTTCAATCTTACTGCAGAAAAAAAGAATTAAAGTTACTTCACAAACTGTAAAAGAGGAAGGTGTGGATAAAGATCTGAGTATTGTGAGACGTGGATGATGCGAAACTGAAGGAAATTATGGTCTACATGTAGAATAGCTTTTGCTCACAGACAAACATTGTAAGCAACGACTCATCCGGATTTGCAGCAGCAAAACCTCAATTGGAATAACGTTATTTTTACTGATGAGAAGGCTTCGAAACTGTACAATAGCAGAAGAAAAGTCTGGCGGTTTCCAGGTATCACAAAAATTGTTCGTACAGCTAAACATCCGCTTAAGTCATATATCTGGGGATATGTTTTAAAAACAGATTTCAGGCAATTAATTACTTTTAGATATAAGTTGTTAGGAGACTTTATGTGCCATGTATATGAGAATGGTCTTGTGCTTACTGTTCATCGTCGATTTTCTGAAGGTTCAGCTGACTAGATCCTCCAAGATGACGATGATCCTAAACACAGATCCCGTCTAGCAATTGACTGAAAGATTGATAATCGAATTCATGTTCTGCCTTGGCTCTCTTAGTCATCGGATCAAAGCCCAATAGAAGAGAGACAGGAAAGGCACTTCCAATCGACTTGGTTGTCAAATAGGTCGGCAGTATGTGAAGATGAGTGCAGTGCTTGATTGAGATCAATATTGAAGACACAGCATGTTAAAGGAATACGTCTTTGATGTAAATTAGTTCGATAATAAAAAAGAAAGTCAATATTAAAAATTTTGAAAAGTATGAGAGGAATACTTTTGTCGACGGGTATATGCAATAAGTAAAATGAATTCGTAAGAAGTGGTAACAATATAAAATCCATTCAATTAGCTTTTTCTAATAAGTAAACACAATATAAACTTTACTTTCATGAATGTATGATCGAACACTTGTCGTCATCAATGTGCTTCATCCTACAACTTAAAAAGTCCACACTGGAATTGTTACGAGATTGCAAGGAACTTTTATAATCTGACGAAAACAAGAAAAAATTAGCGTTTCGAACAATTGTTCAAAGTCAACGTACATCTACCATTCAAATGTAATGTTTCGAACTGACCCAATTGTAATCGTAGTGTGTTATAATGATAAACTTTCTCTCGCACATTTCCATTCCATTGTCTTGGTAGCATCAGATATTATTACTATTTATTCACTTGATTAAGCGTTTGCACAACTCAATGCAAGATATTCATGATAAAGTTTAATCGAATGTACAAATCTAGATAGTACCTATCTCTCGACCATATGTATATATTTGTCTTTGAAAAATATAGATAAAAGAAAAAAAGAGCTTTTCTTTTATAATATTGATCGAGAACAACTTTCATCTCTCACATCCACCGTATTACAGTACTGAATATTATTAACTAGCTAAAAAGTTATACATTATGAAAAAATAAGAAAAAGGAACTACACGTTACTATTTTGTTCCATATCGATATCATCTCAGTTTTTTTGATAGATTAGAAAAAATAACATATTATGAAAATCAAAGAGCTCCCACATTGTTATTTGAAGGTTCGTGAAGTCCATTGTGATTGAATGAAAGTGAAAATAACTACAGTTATCATATTGACAGTGATTCGAAACACTATTGTTGATCTATGGTGAAACAGAACTAATAACTAAGCACTATTCGAAAATATTAAAGAGTTGGATTCCACCAAGCATGATACATGTTTGAAAGAGTACTGAAAACAAATATTTAATATAGATTTAGGCTAGAGAACATAGTATATGTCTTATAAAAACTTTTATCGTCTTCTTAATTTAGTTAAAAAACATTGAAATGAATGATTTAATCCTTAATGTTGTTGATGATGTCTGTTTACAGCTACTGTATTGTTTTTAAATCAACAACATTCCATATCATAAATTTTATCGAATTACAACCATGTTAATGAGTTATAGCAATACATCAATGGCTTATGTCATTGGATATAACCAATCATCTAGTGTTTCCATTAAACACGACGATAAAGATGACACATATCTCGTTGATACTGAATCTAAACAAATTTTATCTAGATTTCTATCCTATCATAAGAGATTTGAAATGTATAAAATTCAAGTAACTAGTAAGCTATATTTGTTTTTTACTTCAAGCTTTTATTGTTTATTTCATCAACACCTGAGTAATAATCTATAAGCAAACTACAAACGTTTTATACTGAACAAATTAGAAGAAAATGTATCAGTCATTCGTTATACTTAATTTACCAAATAACTTTCTAAGAATTTAAATCGGTAAATCATACGTTATTTAAAAATATAAAATATTCATTGTAATCTAAACAGAAGTATATTCTAAAGGGTGATCCAAAAGTTTTGACCCCTGTCAGTAAATCGATGATATCTATAAGAAACTTATATGAAGTTATTAATCAAATTATGTCATTTTGTAGAGGAAAATTAGAGCTATCATCTGAAAAAAATATAGTTCGAAATACATAAATGTATTAAAGCTTATGGTCATTTTACTAATCTTGAGTGAAAGTTTTTACGTTACACTTTTTTGAAATAAACAAAATGCGTTTGTAACATCTTAAGCGACATATTGTTTTCTAGATATTTTTACATGATTCGAGAGAGTTCGATAAGCTCTACAAGAATATGTATGGTTGCAAAGCTTTTGATCTTATTTTGAATATGAACCTTAAAGGAAACCAGAAAAACTAAGAAAAATTTCATGTATAAAATATTAGAGAGAGTAGGTTGATCTTTCAAAAGTTTTAGCTGGTTGACTGTTCTATCTATTCAGGTAGCTCAGAAGAGTTATTTTCAGCTTCAGTATGTAACCCTGCATTTCGAAACATCAATTAACAGTCGATCAGCTAAAGTCTTTGGGACTTAAGCGTCTTATCTCATGAAAGCTATTCAAGATTTCATTAAAAGTTTTTTTGATTATTTCAAAAAATGTAACGTAAAAATTTTCACTCAAGATTAGTAAAATAATCATAAGATTGTAATAGATTTATGTATTTTGAACTATTTCTTTTCAGATGATAGCACTAATCTTCCTCTACAAAATGACATAATTTGATTAATAACATCATATAAGTTTCTTATAGATATCATCGATTTACTGAGAGGGATCGAAACTTTTGGACCACCCTTTAGTAAATGCATCAATGATCATATTTCGCTTGAAGTTTTATACATATCTAAATTGACTAAAACGACGTAAAGTAAATAGGCAAGATAGTATTAAAAAAACAGATACATTGTGTAAGTGATGTTATAAAAGAATGTTGAACATGATATACTATAGTATTGGTTTGCGTCATCAAAATTTATATGATATAAACCATATTCACTGATCAATATATAATCATTTCATCTTTATGACTATACATAAGAGTTAACGAAACATTTCTTAAATATCAATGATTGTACTATTAAATTAGAAAGTTCATGACTAGAGATATTTAATATGATTATCAGTTGATTTTTATTTATTTCATAAAACAATAAAATATGCGCGAAATGTGTAATCGAAACAATCTATCTGTCGCATAAATTTATTAGAAGCGTAAAGACACGAAAATACTGTTTAGATATTGTATACATCTATTCTTTTTTAAATAGCAGAGTTAAATCAGATATTTGTAGGCGAAAGAAGTCGATATTTGCTAAAGTTCATCGAATGATTTCAATATACTAGCGCCCACTATTGCGTAAAATAGTGGCATCAGTTCTATATTTTAATCATTGTTTTAATTCTGTTTATAGATGATTATTAATTTAATTCATTATATTGTTTATTAATCATCGTTGATTTTCTGTCTGATAATAATTATTATCAGTACAATACTCACAGTTTATCCAACATCATGCGATAGTAAATAAATAAACAATCATATCAAGATTTATACATTCATAAATCATACTTGAATGTTCGCTCTATGAATGAAATTAAATAAATATTGAAGACTGGTTTTTTTTTCTTCAAATGTATAATTATTATTTATTTCATGTAAATCATATTCAATTCATATCAAAAACTGTTTCCTTTTTTTTGATTGCAACATGAGTTGCTAAGGTTATTTATCATTTGACAAAAAAAAGAAATGACTCGATCTCAATCATTTATAGATTTACTAAGTACAAATTTGGCTTATCTATTTCATAATTATTTACTTGTTAAAAATAAACAAACATGTGCACATAAATTATTTTCGGATAAGACTTTAAATTTAATGAAAAAAGTTCGTATTGATACAAATAAATATGGTCATTTATTAAGTTCAAACTTTTCTCAAGAAATAAATAATAATAATAATATAATAAATAAAGATCTTCCATTGAAGAAAAAGTAAGTATAGAAAATTTTAATAGTATTTCATATGTCATATAATTTTATTTCAGAAAAGTACATCAAATGGATGAGAAACATAATCAAAGCAAAACGAAAAATAGAAAAATCAAGTAAGTTTAATATTATGCAAAAACCAATCTCTAGAATATTAATTAGATAATAATAAGTATTAGTCTTAATCAAATATATACATATATGTTTTTTTTAATTCTTTCTGAAAGTTGAAAATAAAATAAATGCAACAAAGAGAAACATATGATTCTTTTCCATTGTAATGAGATAGTTTTGATCAAATGATCAAGCATTGCGTCTAATGAATTGAATCAAACACCACTATTCATTTGTTTCAATAAATAGTTGAATAATATAGTTCGCATAATGTAACTATCTGTAAATTTGATTCTTTCAATAAGAAATTACGGACTTGAAAAACAGCGATGAATTTAGTGTTCAAATCATTTCTATGAAATTTCATGGAAAACTGTGACAGATCGACGTAAATGTTAATAGAATTCAATTGAAACAATAACGATCATGATAAAGTAGAAGATTGAAATGAAACTTTCTTTGATGGTCATTTTTTATATGAAAGATATCTTCATAACTTCTTTGGTCTTCTTTTTTTTGAAAAGACTATCGAATTTTTCTTATTCTAGTAAATATATGCGAATGTGAAAATTCAAAATGAAATCGCTCGTCTGTAAATCACAAAAATATAATTACAAATATAATTTTATTTCAAATATTAGATCGAAAAAAGTAAGAATACACCGAGAAAAGAAACCACAATCAAATACAATGATTCCTATACAATCAAGTGTACCAAGAATAGACTATCATCAATCATCTATGGTAAGATGAGACTCTCTTTTTTTTTTCTCTATTTACAAAAAGATTAACTTATTTTCATCGATCTTATAGATTAGTCGTGTGTCATCTTCTACTTCATCAGTATTATCTGACATACAAATTCTTGAGCAAAACAATCACTCAATAGATTCTACTTTATATGTATCAGATCAATGTCGAGAAAAAATGCAATTTCTATATAATATGGGTCCAATAGTGAATAAAAAATACATCAATACAAAATACTTATCAAATGAATTAGATGCAATAAAAAGTCATCAGTATAAAAAAATAAATGAATATTCTAAAAATTTAAAACCTGAACAACTCTTTCGTTGTCCAAAAGATTCAAGATCAAAACGACGAAAATGTTGTGGAGGTAAAATATACATCCATATACGTACAATTTAAATATTAACATTTCATACTTTCTTTGTTTTTTATGTGTTTTTTCTTATATAGTATATTATGAATTATTCAATGACGTATTACGTTTACTCGAACAATGGTTTACGATAACATAAAAGTATTTCATACTTAGGAGCAAAACAAAAATAATGGTTTTATTTATTTATTTGTTTTATATAATTCTATAAGTTTTTTATTTTGAAAAAAAGTACTTTAGAAGAGTCTTACGTGAACGTAAAGGTAAGGTCAAAGTCCAAAAAAAGAAGTCTCATCGAAAGATTACAAAGTGTTTTTTCATTAAAAAAACACAAAGTAACGTACACGTTTTTTGTCTTTTTGATACTTAGAATGTAGTAAAAATGGTCATGAATGTAAATATCTTGCATGCAAATATGCCTTTTAGTAAGATTTTATAGGTCAGAATTTCTATCCAAAAAAAAAATGTACGACACAATATTTTTTTTATCATTATGTATCTATTTCTTTTTTAATAGCAAAATTTAACTACATCTCATTTCGTTATCTTTTTCTTTCATCAAATAGTGACTTGGCATAGACAAGTAGCTTTAGAAAAAAAAAAACCTTGGATATGTCGGTTTTTTTCTTTGTGTTTTTTATCTCTACTCCTAGCATATGACGTATTTATTACACACATACGCATCGAACGTTCCTTATCCGAGGTCAAAAATTATGTCCTAAAAAAACTAATTTATATATTTATATAATCTGTTTTTGATTTTTCAATTAGAAGAAAAAAAAGAAAATTAAATGAAAGTGAGAAGTTAATTAACCACATGTTTTTGTTTAAGATAATCTGTATTATGCATATAGTCGATATCTCCTCCTTTTTTTTTTGCAACTATATCTCTAATCACGTCTCCAATCAATTGTATGAAGACAAGATGATAATGGATGAGGCGATGACGAATAGGCATATATAACAAAGGTGATCACTTTAGACAGTATAATGATAGGTTTCTTTTTTCGATTTTTTTTTATAATTGATGTTTATCGTCTACTAAAATAATTGATCGAATAGAAGTTTTGATAGAAGAAAATTGTTCTTTGTGGTATTTTATTTGTTTTTATTAATTTTTTCTCTGTTCTTGTTCAATAATTCTTATTTTTATGTTAAGTTCATTCATCTCTTCGATATATCATATGTATAACCCTTTAAATAGATAATCCTTTGCCCAGCCTGAACAGTAATCACATGATGTTGATGATGTAAGACCTAACGTCATCGTATGGTGAAACAACATCCAATTGGATAGTTGTGCGTCATCATTGACGTGGCACATGTATATAATCATAGGATCCTTCTATTTTTCTTTTTTTTTTTCTTTCGTCGATGTTTATATGCTGTTTTCTTTTTCTCTTTAGTTTTAATATAATTATTACATTGTCAGGTAAATATTTAACGATGAGAGAAAAACAAATATTCAAGTACAAAAAAAATTCTTTTTCTTTATTTTTATTTTTATTAAAAAGCCTCGATTTACAGATATAAATACATTGAAACAATTGATTACATATGCATAACAACGCATTATATATTGCATATTTCTATCATACGTAGTTTGCATTGACAAAATGTCACAATAACTCTATTTAGTGCATTGAATATCAGTGTAGGATATTAATGGTTTTTGTATGAATGTGTACTGTCTATTATCAATTCATTGATATGATAGATAAAAATAGATGTGAATGAAAAAGAAGTTTGATAAGCGAACAAAAACGTTCATATTGTTTATCAGTTTTTTTCTTTTTCTTTTTTTTTTTGTATGATTAACGTTACTTCCGATGACGCTCAAAGTATATATTATTCTATAAAAATGTTCTAGTCAACTAACATAATAGTTGGCTTATTCTCTTGTGTTCTAATTATCTTTCTTGCATTTTTTTTTCTATACACAGAGCGCAATCGCGTCGATTCATATGAGTACAAACAGTGAGTGAAAATAATTCTATTCTTTTGCTGCATTTTTCTTTTTGTTGCCTACATATGCTTCTAATAGATCGTGTACAGCAACCCTTGGCTTCTGAATGTTTCCGGATGAGACGAGACGATGACTTGTCTGTTCTTGCTCTTCCAGGTTTTTTCTTTTTTTTTCTCTTCTTTCTCTCATTCTGGCATTGAATTCTCAATGCTTATATATTCAATAAGCAGCTGATAGATGCGGTTTTTTTTTTAGGAATAGAAAATAAAAAGAAAGCAAGTCGCAAGAGAACAAGCACACGTCTACGAGTCGTTGTATTCTGGCATTATTGATTTAGCCATCAGCAGAAACAGCGACATTCCTATTTCTTTTCAGTTGAATCATTTCTTTTTTCTGTTTGCCGTTTTTTTTCTAGTTATATTGAGTTGAGTGCTTTTTTTTCGTTTCTTACTTTTCGCTAGACGAAAGAGGAAAAGGTAATAGTAGTAATAGGGACGAAAAGGATGACGATGATGATGCTTTCATCTTCAAGTGAATGAATGATTGACTGACTGAATGTGGCGGGCATGCTTGAGGCAACTAGTTGCACAGCATAGAGGAAAAAAAGAAGAAAGACACATCAATGCACCACTCGAGAATAAAAAAAACAGATGCATTGTTGCTTGTCGGAACAGTAAGTCGTCGACCAAGTAGCTAATGTGAAAATATCTACATGTGCTAGTGATTGCTAGTATATATGTATGTAAACGCATTCATAGGAGATTTATAGACAAAGGACTTTTTTCTTTTCGTTCTTTTTTTTTTCTTTTCTTTTGTGAGTATTGTGTACGTATCTTTCGAGAACAAGGACTTACGTTGTTGTGCGTAGCTGACAATAAAATTATCGAACAAAAGAGATGCATGAATAGATGGAGAATGGGGAAGGACGTAGAAAAAAGAAAAAGGAACGTGTACCATATCCATCCCGTCCATCACAGATGTGAACGAGCGATTGTTGATGACAAAGCTATTACGCTATCTATAGAACGTGGAGGCCAATTGTCCTGATATGATCCATTTTTCTCTCCTTTTGCTTCTTCGTCTTATTGCTTATTTCAACAGCTGATACTGGCATCAGCAGCTCATATCGAGAAACACTTGAATACAGAAGAATTTTTAAGAATAAAAAGAACTCTTTTTTTTCTTTCTGAGGTTTTATTTATAATACCTTTTTAAAACAAAAAAAAAATAGGTAAAGAACCTGGATATCGAGTTTAATTCTTTCACTATTTCTTTTTTTTCTTTCTCTTTCGATTAATAGAGAAAAGAGAGAGATGCACTGAGTGTATGTTAGACCATCGATCTAGGGTAATGTGAAGAAGAATACGATGACGAGAAGAAGGAGAAGGTCATTTTCACGTATATCTCTTTTTCTAACTGAGGTATGCTTTTACTTTTAGATTTTTTTTTTAAATATTATTTAATTCCATCGTAATCAGAAGTAGTATGTTGACTGAGAGTAATTATCATCATCGGTCTCATCATCATCATAATAGTGGTCCGGTGATTTCTCAACATCGTACACATTATGCTCCTTATCAACATCCATTACATACAACGAAGTCAACACAACAAGTTCAACATCAACAAGTGCAACAGGCACAACAACAACCGCAACAACAACAGACTGAAGTACAACAACCGAAATTTGATTTACATCATGCTGTTCGAACAAATGATGTTTCGGGAATAATTCTTTTACATAGTCGACTTCGACAGCAACCAATGGTAGCTGATACATGTTTACTTGATTCAAATGGACATACACCATTGTATACAGCTATTGCTAATGGAAGACTTGCTATGGTTGATCTGCTTCTTCATCTCGGCCATAATCCTGTAAGTCTGATTATTGTAAAATGTAGGAATCAATAAAAATTAACAAAAAAAAGAGAAAAAGAACAACAATAACAGAATGTTTTGAGTTCTCATGTGATCAATTATGCATCATTAAGTAATCTCGCTTATAAGTGAAGAAAAACTAAACAGAAAATATGAATCATATTTTTTCTTATAGAAAAAAATCAACGAATAGGTGTATTTTTCTTCAGTTAAATTTATTTAGTGAATGAAAATAAAAATATAACTCGTGGATTAGTCTATTTAAACCTGATAGGTTAGGGTGGTTTGTTTTTTGTATGTTTTTCGATTTGAAGATTTGTGAAAATAATCTAGAGATACTTTATGGAGTGTACAACATTTTCAATAGAAAATTTTCAGACAAAAAAGATAATATTTACATCATATTTTTAAATATCATCATTATTTCTTTCTTGAGTGTTTTATGTGAAAAGAAATATATTTGTTTTATTTCATGTTAGTATTGCATCTCGGTGGCTCGTGAATCAGCATTAAATGTTGCCATAGGTTTTGGTCGCCTTGATATAATAGATTATTTATTAACACGTGGTTTTCCTGTTGATTATCCTGGCTTTGAAGATAAAACTCCATTAGAACGAGCTATTGAATGTAATCAAGGTTCTGTTGTTGTTACTTTACTTAAACATGGTAGTGATTGGCGTCGTTATGAAGAACGACGTAAAACCGGCGATATGTCACTTGTTGAATGGGCACTTGCACATGAGCATCCTCAAGTATTAGGTGTACTTATTGATTTATATGGCGATGATGAATCTGTATTTAATCAGATCGGTATGATGTAAAAAATATTTGTACATAAAAATTTTACATATATATGTATACATAAAATATGTGTGTGTGTATAACAACCAGACCATTTTTCAGGTATCTATTACTTTTATTTCTGTGTGTTGTAAATTAAGTGAGAGTGAGAGAGAGAGGTCATTTTCCCGGTTTAGCACCATTAGTTCGTTTCATGTTACATTTTTTCTTCTCTCTTTTTTTTGTTGCGTTTCATTGCTTCACAATCAACTGATTTGTTGTTTGTTTGTTCGGTTTATTGTTCGAGTTTTTCTTTTTGTTTTCGTGCATAAAGTTGATGAACAGTTTCATGTCTTGTCTTTTTTTTTTTTGTTTTTTTTCTCTCTGTACATATTTGTATATCTACTATTCTCTATATTACAGTACGCGTCATTGTTCCATCTGTGATTTTTTTTTGTCACTGTCTCTCTCTTACATATGAATTTGTGTTTTGGCTTTATGTACATTTGATGATGAAAAAAAAAACTAGAAATAACAAACATTATTCTGTTGTATATATGTATAAAAACTTTGATGTGACCATTTTGTTGCTTCTATATATAAGAGCAAGTATATAGAACGGGTTCATTTGTTGTTTTTTTAAATACCCGGCCTTTCGTTTTTTTTTCTATTTCGAGCATCGGCTTTTTTTTTTGTGTACAGTATCTTTTTCCCGTGTGTATGCGCGTGTGTTTTTGTTTATTAGGAAAAAAAAGCTTAATATTCAAGAGATATTACTTGAATTAAATCTTATTTTTGACTGATCCAATAGAAATTTTTGATCAAAATAACAGATGTCACTTTGAGGATAAAATGTTCTTTTTCGTCGTTAGTTAAAATGAAAAAACAAAAAAAATTATTAAATAATTGATTTAAAGAATTCTCTATAAAAACTATTTCGAAAATATTTTTCTTCGGATTAGTCTGATTCTCGTTGGCCAATCATATAACAAAGAGATATCATCAATTGATCATTGTTCATTTGTTCTTTCTCTATCATTAGACAGATAGCGGTCAATCTCGGGAAGACATTTCTTGTTCTTTTTTTTTTTTTTATCTACCACAGATTTATATATATATATATATTCATATCATTTAAATAATGGATCAACAACATAACATTGCTGCTCTAAACGATAGTGCTGGTGTTTTACCAATGGATACTGGTGTAACATATAATGGTATTCATGGTAAAGAAATTTCTTGTTATGCATGTTTTTGCTAATCAAAATATATTTCTTATTTAGATGAAAGTGTAACTAATCCATCATCATCAGGCAAAGCAGGTGCAAAAAAAGGTCGTGGTCGTCCACCAAAATCCGGAAGTACAATAAAAGGAAGTAGTGGTTCTGCTACACCAAAACGTGGACGTGGTCGACCACCAAAAGGAGGTGAAACACCTTCATCAACTAAAAAGGTTACTGCTGCATTAAAAAACAAAAAAGAAGAAATTACAGCAACAAATGTCGATTTAAATAAAAAAAAACGTGGTAGACCGTCGAAGAGTAGTGCATCACATGAACAAATCAATGGCATAAGCAAACCACAAGTAAATGAGAAAAAAAAAACGAACATTATTTGAATAGAAATGACATTTTATTGTTTGTTTTTAGGTTCAAGTAACTCCAGTTTCATATCAACAAGAAAAACAAGTTGTTACTGATGAACCAATGAAGAGAAAACGTGGACGACCATCAGGATCATCACCAAAAAAAACTGTTGTAGCTGTCGTAGCAACACCATCAAAAGAAGCATCACCAGCAAGAAAACGTGGTCGTCCATCAGGATCTGGTAGTAGTAAAAAATCATCATCAAAACCTAAGGCATTAGCCGGTACTGATGGTTCAACTAGAAAACGAGGTCGACCAAAAAAATCAACCGCAACACCATCAATAACCGGATCTGTCGCATCAGTTAATGAAACAGCTACGCCTACACCAAATAATGTTCAATAAAACAACAACATTTTTAAAAACAAGCATTTGAATGACATAATAATATGTCAAAGTCATTAATTAATATCTCATTTTTACTTCTATTTCATTGTATGTATTTTCTGTGTGTGTGCGTGTGCGTGTACTTGTCGTTCTAGACACTAAAACAAGTCAATTATTGTTTATTCATTTATTACTTGTTTGTTTATTATGTTCATAAGTAGTCTGTATGTACGCATATACCTTTTTTTTTCTTGTCTATATTTCATTTATTTGCTGTCTATTGCGCTCATAAAATAGATTATATACTAGATATGTTCGTTGTTTTTCGATCAAAGAATAAATGACTTTTTACACGAACTTAAAATGATTATATCATTATGTGCTCATATTTTTATTTTTGTTCAAAATGAAACATTAAAAAGGATAAGGAACAATATAAATATAATTATATGAAAGTATGATAAAAAGTTTATATAAGACATACCAAGAGTCATATTAGTAACATACTAATACTTTGGCAAAATGCTTCAGGAAATTTTCTCTATATAAACAAATACTGATATTGTAAATAGAGCTCTGTAATTCTGTGATATTTGATCATTCTTGTTTTGCTATGATAATATTAAAATTTCGATCAAAGTTGTCAAGCTCGACTTTAGATGAATAAAAAAAACAACTTATGGTTCGACATTAAAATTTGTATTGTTCAAGTGAGAATAATTTGTGATAAATTATATTCTATTTTCAACGGACAGACTTCACCTTTCAGAACAATTGAAAGGTAATAGGATTGGTTCCGTGAAGGATGAGAAAAATGATTTACCAGACCGGTTATCAAGACCGTATCTTTCATGATCAATCTTAAAGTTTGACGCTTCAATATACAACAATCGATAATCTTTTTAAGTTGAAGATGATCGAAGATTATTTGTTTAATAGTGTCATGACTCAAATCAGTTTGCGTTTGTAATTTACCTATTGTTTTAGAAAGACTATCATTCATACGGCAATGAATATGTTTGATCACAGCTATCTACTGAATTGTACTACGTGTTCAATATCTTTTGGGCTTCCACAAAATTGAGTCTGATCGACGAAAAGAAAATGCAATACAACACAGACTTAAATATAAAAGAGAAAATTTGCCTTATCCATCTAAATCAGAAATGAACAGCATTGATCAACATTCTAATACTATTATATCAAATAAAGAGTAATGAAATACTATAGAGTACTGTTTGGCTTGTTAGTATTTGTATATACAGAGAAAATATCCCGAAGTCTTTTTTGATAAAGTATTATAGTACTACTGCCATTACTCTTGGTATGCCTTAAGTATATTTGAACTTGTTTTTGGAGTTTTTTAGTAGTCTAAATCGAAGTAATCAAAAGAGTTGATCAATTATTGTTCTATATTCAACGGCATGTTTTTCTTTCATAGTCATTTTTTATTCAATTACGAGAACTACATAAATAAACAATTGTTGAGTAGCGAAACCAAGTAAACTTATGGATACATTGTTTTCCACGTTTGAGAGAAAGTCTCAAAAATTATTTTATGTTGAGATTGTCATTTTTGGAATAACTCATTGATATATATAGAAGGTACTTAGGCTAATATCTTTTTCTTCTATTCATAATATTACATTAGAGATATCTCATTTATCTCTCATAGGAATATTAATCAATGAAGGATATAAGAAAAATTTCTCATTTAGGTAATACCAACTGTTTTATCGTTTAACGACAATATGTTTCATATTGTTAGTGTGTCTGTAAGATACTATCTATCAAAGTAGCTATTTTTGTTTCTCTCATTTATGCCATAGAAATCCTATCATTATCAATCAATCTGGACTTTTGCTTTTCGATATATTTATCTCTTTCGAATAGTTAAAATGTCTTCAAGGATAAAATAAATACAAATTTCTTGAGTAAATCATCCATATATTCAATCAATGAAATTTAAATTATTGATTAATTGACCAACAGAAAATGTCAAGTATAATAAAAATAATAAAAACTTCATTATTTTCGACTCATCATATATCGTTCCATTTCATGAAATATGAAAAAGTTTATTTGGTTATACATAAATTTAATATGAACAGCATTTTGTTTATATTTTGACATGATTAGCTATTATCGAATATGTCTTCAATCGTCATGTCTTCCTATTGTCGTCAATTTATGTCTTAGGAAAAAAAATAAGATATAAAGAAAAAAAAAAGAAAGAAATAGAAGTAGAAAAGAAATAGAAAGACGATAGAGAAAAGAAGCCGTCTTTTTATCATCATCTCATTTCTTTTTGCAGGATTTATTCTTTCTCGCCTATTATTGATTTACTACTTTCTTCTTTCTTCCGGATGCTTTCTGTATACAAACATATAATTCTCTGTCTTACTTATTATTGTTAGTTTTTCTTGTACGCTATCCTGATTGTTAGTCGTGTCCTAGAATATTAGCTTTTCCTGATTAAGACGTACAAATGCTAGTGTTTTTTTTCTTAATATAGATAACGCCAATTGTAATATGCTGATTGTGTGGTTTTTACAATTGTTTATTTTAAACAATATTATTTTTGCACAACCACCAACTTGTTTTCGTTCATCACGATATTTAGTACCACAAACACCAGGTGATAATGGTTTTCGTATAACAGTTGAAGGTAGTTTTAAAACATATGTACCAGGACGAACATATAAAAGTAATATTTAGTTTTCATTTTTTTGTATCTTTGAAATTATTTGAGACTAGGAAGAAAATAATAAAAGATATTTCATTGTAGTTTCATTAAATGGTTTTAAAAACCAATTTTATCAATCATCATTTAAAGAATTTATGCTTATTGCTGTACCATCAACATGGTCTGATGAACAACCATATCGACTGATAGGGCATTTTGAATTATTACCATCAACAAATACTAATGATGAATTAACACAAGAAGCTATTATTAGTCAACGTAATTGTCCTGGTGGTGTTACAGATGCAAATCCAGATAAATTAAAAAATACTATATCTGTTGATTGGATTGCACCACGTCATCCACAAGGATGTGTTTCATTTAAGTAAAAAATTTCTTTCCAAGAAAATATTCTAATAACAATACACTTCTCTTTCATTTATATAGAGCTACTGTTGTACGTTCAGATACAACATGGTTCAAAGATGACAATGCTCTTACGTATACCATGTGCGAAGATCGTTTGTATTCTATAAAATAATCAATCATGCATTTAATGAGATATTATTTCTATTTAGAAATGCATATGAAGAAAATGATGCAACAATGTTGTGCATGCGGTGAAGCAAAATATCAATTAACATTTAAAGGACTTTGGTCACCAGAAACACATAAAAAGGATTGGCCATCAAAAACAGGTAAAGAAAATTTTCTTTAGACTATTGCTGTCATCTTTTCGGAAGATTTTTGAGAATAATTCATCAGAAAAATTTGAAATATCAGAGATATCTTGATGAATAGAACAAAAGTTGTTATAGACTTAAAGTTCTCGCATGTTATCACGGATAACACACTGGTATCACAATGACCTTAATTTTCACCTCCGTTTTTTCGAGATCCCATTTACAAACACTAGACATTGTTTATGATGAGCACGTTTCCATTTTTTATTCTTCGAATAAACAAGCTAAATATCGAAGACATCGAAAAAGACACACGTTTTATTTTATAAAAGCTACCAACAATCAGCAGAGCAATGTTTTTCGAAACCCTAAAAACTATCCATCCCAAAGAGTGCATAGTATATATGAGAAAAAAAGTTTCAACTCGATTGGATACACTAGCCTTGAAGAAACTAAAACATGTCAATACATTTTTCCGTTTTAATTTAGCTCATTTTTCAACAACTGTTGGTGCTGTTCATAATTCCAATTATTCAATGTTTCAAGTTGGTTCATATGCCAATCGTGGTTTAAGTCAATTAGTTTTAACTGGTGAAACACATGCACTTGAACAAGAATTAGCAAATGAAGTTAGTATATATATATATATATATAAATACATATACGTATATCAAAAGAAAAAAAAAATGAAAATTATTTTTATTGAATTCTACTAGCAACGTAACAGAGGATATGTTGGTTTACGTTTTCTTATGTCCGGTTCATCGTGGCATCAAGCTATTCGAGTTAATCGTAATTTTCATCGATTATCTCTCGTTAATAAATATATTGATGAAAATATAAAATCAACCGATTCTTTTATAGGTAGATTTTCGTTTTTAGAACATGATAAAGAAAATTCTTTTCTTTTGTTGTATCATATGTAATGTCTTTTTATGTTTATTGTTGTTGTATATGTGTAAATGGTGCTTCTTGTTTATTATAGTCATTCAATGGAGTTATTCGTAGTTTATTATTTGCTCAACCTTTAAAACTATCATCTAATGAAGTTGAATCAACAATGAATGTATTTACAGTTTCGCCTCATCATCCTAAATTGAGTTTTGTTAGCAAATTTTCACCTAGTCCTGATTGGTTTACAGGTATATTTTTTTTTAGTTCATGCTTCATTATTTATTTAGTGAAGTTTTTTTTAAATTACTGATGAATAAAATTATATTATTCTTTATAAATAGGAGTTGATTCAATTGATTTATGTTTGTCAAATTGTACATGGCTTGAACAATATTCAGAAGATCTTTATCCATTAGATGCTGGTATTGATAGTGGAACGACATATACAGTAGGTTTAGTTGATTCTTTGCTTCTTTGTATAAGGATTAAATATATTATTTCATTTTAGTCAAGTCGTTTACCAACAATACCACTAGAAAAAATTCATACACTTACTGGTACTGTGTCACCATCATCACCTTTTCATGATCCTATGAGTTAGTATTAAGAATTTATTTTTGTTGTTGTTAACGTATTTCTTTTTTTGACAAACCTTGATAGGTAAACCAATAATGCCTGTAGCACGTGTTATTCTTCAACGTACACTTGTTCGTGGTACTCAATGTCCAAATAATCAATATGGTACACAAAATTTG